AGCAACCTAAAGGGTTCCTGGCATTTTCAGTTTCCAGCATGCCCAGAGGGAAGGAGGGGGCGACATGCAGGAAACTCCATGCAAGCCTGGGACTGACCATCAGGTTATTTCTCCCTCTGGATCTGTGGGCTCTGGGAGGGGAGCGGGGAAGGTATCAGGGCAAGGCAGGCCTGCAGCTGGGCTTGGAAGGGATGGGGAAAGGAGACAGAGAAACCAGAATTGAGTTGTCATAGGGTTTTCTTTAACTTTCTATTCCTGGGGCAATTTGTGTGTGTGTGATGGAGGATATCAACCCCTCACTGAAGCGAAAGGAATTGCCTTGGCCCAGTTGGCTGAGAGAGCCTCACCCCACAGCATTGCTGGGCATGCTCCAACTGGAGACTGACTATAAATGCCTCTGGAGCAGCTCAGTTTGGGCTGACTGCTGAAGGGGAAGGAGGTGCGGAGAGAACTCCAAAGACAGAGGAGGAAGCACAACCAGACCACACAGTGGCAGCCGGGCTGAAAGAGGCTACCAGAGGAGCCACAGACCCAGAGTGAGCCAGGTGGGGAAGACATCTGCCAGGTGATGGTAGGAAGTAGCCCTGGGTGGGGAATTGCACCTCAAAGTACTCAGCGTGTTACGGCAGTATTCCCTGCTGAGCAGGCAGTGAACAGGCCATGTCACTGCCAACAGGGACTTGGGCTGGAACCCTGTAGAATGGGAGGGCCTGAATCCTCCTACCCCTTCAGTACATACCCCGTGTGGGGGAGTTTTCCTACACGCATATAGATTTGGGCCATGAGGCCATATTACCCTGAAGAGCAGGAGCTTGCATATGAAATAAGTCACTGGACCATATTTCCCTGAAGAGCAGGGATTTAGGCTGTGTCTAGACTACATGCCTCTGTCGTCAGAGGCATGTAGATTAGACACATAGGCAAAGTCAAATGAAGCCGCGATTTAAATGATCGCAGCTTCATTTAAATTTACATGGCTGCCGCGCTGAGCCGACAAACAGCTGATCAGCTGTTTCATATGAAATAAGTCACTGGACCATATTTCCCTGAAGAGCAGGGATTTAGGCTGTGTCTAGACTACATGCCTCTGTCGTCAGAGGCATGTAGATTAGACACATAGGCAAAGTCAAATGAAGCCGCGATTTAAATGATCGCAGCTTCATTTAAATTTACATGGCTGCCGCGCTGAGCCGACAAACAGCTGATCAGCTGTTT